CTTGCCGAGAGAAAGCAGAAAGAGCCGTACTCTAGAACAGAGAGAATAGTTGTTTTATAAAGCGTTATGAGGTCTCCCGGATGAGAACGCCACCATGTGCCGCAAATTGAACGGAGAAAGTTGATCCTCTGCTGACATTTTTGCTTCAAATACGTAATATGGGTATTCCAAGTGCACTTTGAATCAAACCAGACCCCAAGGTACTTGAAAGACAATGATTGGGTAATGTTTCTGCCCAAAAGATTAAGCTTCATTTGGGCTGGGTACCGCTTTCGAGTAAACACTACCAGTTCAGTTTTCTGCGGCGAGAATTCGATCCCTAGATTCATAGCCCAAGAAGACAAGTTATCTAAGGAGCTTTGCAATGGTCCTTGCAAGTCCACGGCATGTGGACCTCTTACGGAAACCACACCGTCATCTGCAAGTTGTCTTAGCGTGCATTGTTCTGCCAAACAGTTGTCGATATCTTTGACATAAAAGTTATAAAGAAGAGGGCTGAGACATGAGCCTTGGGGCAGGCCCATGTAACTAATTCTGGAAGTTGTCAGTTCTCCATGAGAAAAGTTCATTTGCTTTTCTGACAACAAATTGTACAAGAAATTATTTAAAATTCCAGAAAGTCCACATCTGTGCAGATTGTCTGACAGAATTTCAATGGAAACTGAATCAAAAGCCCCATTAATGTCCAAGAATACTGAAGCCAATTGCTCCTTGTGCGCAAAGGCCAGTTGAATATCTGTGGAAAGCAGCGCTAGGCAATCGTTTGTTCCTTTGCTCTTGCGGAACTCAAACTGTGTATTTGATAGCAATTTATTTGATTCGACCCAGTGATCGAGTCTCCGAAGGATCATTTTCTCCAACAATTTCCTAATGCACGAAAGCATAGCAATCGGACGGTATGAGTTATGGCCAGACGCTGATTTGCCAGGTTTTTTAATGGCTATTACTTTGACCTGTAATCAGGCGGTACAATGTTGTTTTCTAGTAAGGAATTGAATAAGTCTAGCAAGCGTCTTTTAGCGATATCTGGGAGATTTTTCAGAAGATTGAATTTAATCATATCGCTTCCCGGTGAGGAGTTGTTCGATGAAAGAAGAGCCATAGAGAAATCCAGCATTGTGAATGGTCAATATTCAGCTCTTGATCCGTCTTAAAAATGTCCGTAGGAGACAATATCAAAGAACACGCGATCCTGCCATGAAAGTTATCTGGAGGGATTTGCAGACCCGAGTTCCAAACCCTTTTGGAAACTCACAAAAAATTTGAAAAAACCTCAAAAGCCTATTCCAGCGCTTAAAGAAGGTGGTAAAATTTTGATCACAAATTCGGAAAAACTCAGAAACTTGCTAACCAATTCGAGAGTTCCAATAATTTCAGTTTGGGTCTTACTAGTCCTAGTGAGAATCAGGTTGCTAGGGATTTTCTGAATATTTTCTCTCGGGAAAATATGTTTGATGATTCCTGGGAGACTGATAAAAAGTTACTCAATATGAAAACTCCAGGTGATGATGGAATTTTCTGTATCCTCATCATAAACCTCCCAGAGAGTGCCTTGTCTTACTTGGTAAAATTATTAAACAGATGTTTCCATTAGGCATACTTTCCTGATAAATGGAAAAATGCAAAAGTTTTTCCAATTTTGAAACCGGATAAAAATCCAGCTGAAGCTTCTAGCTACCGTCCAATAAGTTTGCTTTCTTCAATAAGTAAACTTTTTGAAAAGATAATTTTAAATAGAATGATGCTCAATTTTTGCAGATGAGCAGTTTGGATTTCGCCATGGGCATTAAACTACTCATCAACTCTTAAGAGTTACCAATTTAATTCGTTCAAACAAATTTGAAGGCTGCTCAACTGGATTTGCTCTTCTAGACATAGAAAAAGCATTCGACAGTGTTTGGCATGAAGGTTTGATTGCTAAATTGAAAAAGTTTAATTTTCCACTCTCTATAATGAAATTAGTTCAAAATTATTTTATTGACAGAACTCTGCAGGTAAATTATCAAAATTCAAAATCTGAACGACTACCGGTTGTAGCAAGAATTCCTAAGGGTAGCATTCTTGGGCCTGTATTGTATAACATTTTCAATTCGGACCTCCCTGATTTGCCTTAGGGTTGCCACAAATCTTTGTTCACTGATGACACAGACATTTCCGCTAAAGGAAGAAATCTTCGTGTTATTTGCAGCAGACTGCAGAAAAGTTTGAATATTTTCTCTTCTTATTTACAAAAATGGAAGATTTCTCCCAACGCTTCCCATATTTCAACTTATAATATTTCCCCATAAGCCTAGAGCTTCCTTTTTGAAACCTAGTAGTAGTCACATAGTCACTATGAACGGAGTTCCAATTTCCTGGTCAAACCAAGTGAAATATCTTGGATTAATACTTAATAATAATAAACGAATAAACTTCTAATATTTAAACAAGTTTTTAGACCGGCCATGCTTTATGCTGTGCCAATATGGTCTAGTTGTTGCACTACCAGGAAAAAAGCACTCCAAAGGATTCAGAACAAAGTTCTGAAGATGATTTTGAAGTTGCCTCTCTGGTATAGTACTGCCGAGGTTCATAGAATTTCGAATGTTGAGACTTTAGAAGAAATGTCCAACAAAATAATTAATAATTTCAGGCAAAAATCGTTGCAATCCTCTTTATACTTAGATAAGATTTAGTTTTAGTTTTTAGTTTTAAGGTTTTTTTTTTATATCTTTATTAAGGAGACTTTCAGCCGTTGGCTAGTTTTAAGGTATGAATTGTTATAATGACATGCAGGTTTAAAAAACCTGTTTAAAATACTGAATTGCCAAGACAGGAACTATGTAAAAATACTTAGATATATATCATAACAATTAAGGCTGGTAAGTTACTGTAGTAACTGGAGCACCTAGGTTAAAATTAAATGTAATTTATTTTTAATTTAAAACAAATAAAGAGTTAAGAAAAAAAAAGGTATGGGAATTATCATAACAGAGACTTTAGAACAAATGTCCAAAAAAGTAATTATTAATTTCAAGCAAAAATCGTTACAATGCTCAATTGCAACGATTAGTTCGCTTTATTCTTAGATAAGATTAAGTTTTAGTTTTTAGTTTTAAGATGTCAACTGTCATATTGACATGCAGGTTCAAAAAACCTGTTTAAAATATTGAATTGCCGAAGCAGAACCAACGTAAACACACTTATATATCATAACAATTAAGGCTGGTAAATTTCTGTAGATATCTAGATTGAAATGAAATTTAATTTAAATTGAATTTAGATCAAAATAAGGAGTTAAAAAAATTGAAAAAAGAAAAAAGGAACACTTCAATTTGACCCTAAATTCGAACTAACTTATTGAAACGCCATTGAATTCACTTCATATAAGGATAAAAATTAATCCGGTCGGGCCGCTTCTTTTGTTTTTGTGATTGATTGGCGCAAACATTCATTTCACACGTTCTTACTGACTTCGTTCGGCAGCTTTTGAACTGAAGTATCGTACCAAACGCACAATTGACACGTTAACGCCGAAATCATGGATTTATTTGATGTATTCTCCTTGATTGGCCCAAAATAGGCGATTAGGACGAAGTAGTTGTCTACCCCAATTAATATTTTTAATTATCGAAACATGATTGCTTCATACGGTCAAATCTAGATTTACTGGGATGAAATGTGATTGAAAAGAAGCCATTTTTTAGAAAGATTTTTCGTTGTGGAAATTCAATGCAACAATACATTTGTTTTGTCCCTGATTGGTGGATTAGTTTTTAACAGTCACAGGGTTTGTACAAAACAGGGTTTGTACACCTTCCTTAATGGGTTACTTGATTTCAAAATCATAAAATTGTAAATCCAACTCATGGTCAGTAATCGTACCATGTGGTTCCAGTTATCCGATAATCGGGGGTTAGTTGAAAAATCACTGTTAGTCCATGTCTAATATTTCAAAATATTCTCAGTTAATTTGAACTGCCATTGATTTTGGGACTGACAAACGAATTCAATCATACCACAAGATCTAAATTTGACATACACTATTTTGGTGTAGCGAGACTTGATCATAACTGTTGATTTTTCCGGTCCCACGTCCCCCAGTGTGCCTTATAGATCATCGATGACGAAACTACATTATGAGCCGCATCCACTCCGTTCACCTCCATGTGATTGAATCACATCTCCCTTTTTCAGAGACAAAGGAAATCCTACAGATGTAGTTCCATCGGTTCATAGTTGCAAGCGACACGATGTAATGAGTTGTTATAGTAAGCTTCGAAAACTGGAATGATCCAGTAACCGGGCACAAACCAGTTTTACGCAAACGTGTCCGCTTAAACTAAACTAAGACGGCTCTTTGACCTCTAGCGCTTACTAGAGGGAACCTGGCCGATTTAGAACACCGTGCCGGTAGACTTATCACTTGTAAATTCCAGCTGATAAGGTTTCCCCTCATCGTCGTGATCATGAGATTGTACTCTACGTTCACATGATCGTTCGGAAGTCAGTTGAGCGTACCGTAAACATTCTCCTACGGATGCTGTAATATTGCACGAAAACGTGAACGATTCCCTTTCTGTTCTATTGCTACGGATGCGTATGTTTATTCTCTATAATCGTTACTCTTCCGTAACGGAGCGTGGATCGTAGGAATAAACTCATAAAATGATTACGGGCATTTCAAGCGACGAAGGTCGCCAGACGAATACATATTTGAACGAGGATCACGACGCTCGATAAGCTTTCGGACGTTTTGGACACATGCGGCCGTTATGGGGCTCGTTCCATTTCGGTACGGTCTATATTTAACATCGTACCAAACTCTAAAAAACCTTTCCATTATCGCAGCTCTACTACCATGTTGTTTTGAAACGGTTATCTACGTAACACTGAATCGACAGAAAATACCAACCATTCACTTTCCTATGAATTTGCGTTGTTGACCGCGAGCGAAAATCTGTATTGGAAAAATATTTTCGTATTGATTAGAGCGTTATTTTTCAATTTGTTTTCCGTAGGAAGATCCCCTGTGAACAGACGGAGAGTTTGCACGTAGTAACAAAACAGCTGACGCACAAAAACACACACACACATACTCGTCAAGATGATGTCCAGAAAGTTGGTCGAGGAAACACGTGAAGCCGGTTTCCGTGACGTGCCAGATCACTTCAAGATCAGCAACTACGGCTACGGGAAAGACAGCGTGAAAGTTTTGCACGTGGTTCGAAACGGTTTGGTACATAGTATTAAGGAGTTCGAGGTGGGAACCAAACTAAAGCTGTCAAGCCAGAAGGATTACCTGCAGGGTTTGTGTGACTCTAGGGAGTAATTTTCCGAGTTTTAATTGTATTTTATTTTGCACACAGGTGACAACAGTGACATCGTGGCCACCGATTCGCAGAAGAACACGGTCTACCTGCTGGCACGCAAGTATGGACTCAAGACACCGGAAGAGTTCGGTATCCTGCTGTGCAGTCACTTCCTGTCCAAATATTCGCACGTCAACGAAGTTTCGATTCACATCGATGAGTATCCATGGTCCCGGATGGGTTTCGGCAAAGGTCCATATCAGGATCTTCACAACCATGCCTTTGTGTTCACTCCGACTGCCGTCCGGTATTGTGACGTCACGCAGAAGCGAGGTGGTGAGTGTTGGCTATTTTAAACGAATTATGCGGTCTGAAAATGTGTTCGTATTTTCAATGCAGATTAGTGGCTCTAACAGTAGAATTTTTCACTAAGATTAAAAAATATATGCAATCGTATACGTTCAGTCTTCAAAAGGCATACCTTTGCTCTAAGACAGCACTGTCAGGGTAAATTGAGTTGGTTACTTACACATTTTTCATAGAGGGTGATACGGTCAAAATTTGGTCAAGGGAAAACGCGTGTAAATCGGTGAAATCGTTTATTTAAAAAATCAAATTAAATTTCTTTTTCAAGTTCAATTAGTATAAAATTCAGGAAAAATATTCAGTTAGGCTTCCGATTTTCCAAATCCGAATTGCCGGGCCTTACGCTTGACCCCTGCCATCAGATTTTGGACAGCCACCTTGTCCACCTTCTTCGCCGCAGAAAGCCAGTTTGCCTTGAACTGCTGCTCGCCCTTAGCAGTTTTTTTGGTCTTCTTTAGGTTCCGCTTGACAATAGCCCAGTATTTCTCAATTGGGCGGAGCTCTGGCGTGTTGGGAGGGTTCTTGTCCTTGGGAACCACCTGCACGTTGTTGGCGGCGTACCACTCCATGGCCTTTTTACCGTAATGGCAAGATGCCAAATCCGGCCAAAACAGTACGGAACAACCGTGTTTCTTCAGGAAAGGCAGCAGACGTTTATTCAAACACTCTTTCACGTAAATTTCTTGGTTGACAGTCCCGGAAGCTATGAAAATGCTGCTTTTCAAGCCACAGGTACAGATGGCTTGCCAAACCAGATATTTCTTTGCGAACTTTGACAGTTTCATGTGCTTGAAAACATCTGCTACCTTTCCCCTTCCTTTTGCCGTATAAAACTCCTGTCCCGAAAGCTGCTTGTAGTCGGCTTTGACGTAGGTTTCGTCGTCCATTACCACGCAGTCAAACTTCGTCAGCATCGTCGTGTACAGCCTCCGGGATCGCGCTTTGGCCGTCGTATTTTGTTTATCATCGCGATTTGGAGTCACTACCTTCTTGTAAGTCGATAGTCCGGCTCGTTTTTTGGCTCGATGCACGGTTGTAGACGATACACCCAGCTTATTTGCGGCATCTCGGAGAGAGAGGTTAGGGTTTCGCTTGAAACTACCGGCAACTCTCTTTGTCGTCTCAGCGGCTTCCGGTTTTCGATTTCCCCCCGATCCAGACTTCCTGGCTGTCGACAAACGTTCCCCAAACACTTTAATTACATTTGTAACGGTTGATTTGGCAACTTTTAGCGATTTTGCCAACTTTGCGTGCGAGTAGCTCGGATTTTCGCGATGCGCGAGCAAAATTTTGATACGCTGCTCTTCTTGCTTGGACGGCATTTTGACAACTGAAGAGTGAATTCCAAAATCAAAATAGGAGCAACATTCTACACACACACACCTTCAAAATGAGGGGTGTTCAGGTTTTTTAAATGCAAAATTGAAAGAAATACGTCAAGTTGATATTGACCAAATTTTGACCGTATCACCCTTTATGTGTGCCCCCAGTGGGAAATCATTTGCATTCATTTCGTGCATTAATTTTCATTCATTTGCCTCTAACTTTTTTCATCAACATAATTCCGCAAAATTATGTATGGAGCTTTTGTAGGTTTTGTTATTAGCTGCAATTTTTGAAAACAACTTAAATCCGTATCTCTTATGCATCACGAACCAGAGCGAACAGAAGCCACTACTCTCTAATTCGTGATGCATAAGAGATACTGATTTGAGTCATGGGCAAAAGTGGTAGCTTACAATAAAACCTACAAAAGCTCTATACATCATTATGCAGAATACTGTTGATGAAAAAAGTTAGAGGCAAATGAATGTAAATGAATGCATGCAATAAATGTAAATGATTTTCCATGCCTGGCCCCACCCACCTCAAATCCATGCGCCTCTTTAAGAAGTTTTTTTTTTTTTTTTTTAAAGCTTTATTCACCCTCCGTTACTCGTGCCAACTTTTATAACACGAGTACTCGCGCGTTGTGAGTTTTCCATTGCCATTTTGCAGCCGAGCTACCAATCGATATGAAACCAACGGGTATTCATTTAAAAAACTTATTTTTAACTAAACAAGCTAAAATTTTATCACAGTTAACCCACAAAAATGCGGATAATAGAGAAAATGTGAATGGAAACCGCGTAAACGGTGTCCGTACTACGTGGGATTTGACTTAATTGGTTCCAACATGGAAAATCTCGAGATCCTGACCAGATAGAAAATTACTGTCTTGGGCAAAGATGTTCTAGAGATCATAATCTTTTTACTGGTGGAGAGTAGTTCAGAATTTTCTCACTACGTAGCGCCAGAATACATGTGAAATTATCGCATGTGATATATCTCGAGATCATGACCAGATAGAAAATTATTGTCGTCGACAAAGTTGTTCAGAAGGTCAAGGCCTTTTCGTTGGTGGACAGTAGTTCAGCGTTTTCTCACGTCACGGCATTAGTATACCTGTTAAATTCTCGCATATATAAAATATTTCTAGATCCTTACCTTGAGCTTGAGCTTGATTGACCGCCCACGGTTGCTACTCTGTTATTGCCAGATCAGCTGTAATTACACAGAGAACCAATAGACGATACTTGGGACTAGCAATCATCCTCAATGTGTAAAAACTTATGATCTTAAATTAGGCCATACCAGCGCCGGAAGCGCCCGAACACAGGTCAAGAAAGGAATGGGAAGGATTGTGTTGACATGACACTCGCTTTGACACCTCTGCACTTCCACGAGGAATCACTGGGATGTTGGATAAGAGGGTTGGGTTTGCAGCAGGGTTTCGTTTTGGTAAACGATAAGCTGAATTCATGTCCTAACGATCATATAACGCGAAGGAGCTTGGGACTAAACTCACGGTCTTCTGCTCAGTAAGCAAAAACGTTTGCTACTAGGCAGACGAGCACCTTTTTAATCACCGAGTTGCTGTTATTGCCATATTAACAAATAAAACGATTGACGAATCTTGAATGTGGAAGGGCCTGAGATTAGACTCATGATGTTCTGCTCAGTAAGCAAAAACGGTTGCTCTAAGGCCACCGAGCCCCTCATATCACATAATACCGTTGCTCAAATTTTTGTATCCATTCAAACCCGGAACCAACGACAACAACGAGTTTCGCAAAATACACGATACACAAGTGATTTTACCATAAATCTCTTTGATATGTAAGGACCTGGGACCGCATTTTTCTGCTCAGTAAGCAGGCCACTGTAACCGACGATCTTTCAAATCCGAAAACTAAAAACTACGAAAAAGTACTTAGGCCTTCATTAAGTTCCACTTTCACGCGACGTTCAATGACAGGGTCCTATCCAGGATTACATCTGAAAAATCCAAATCTGGCCAACGCCCACCATAAACCTAAACCTGCTCTAATCCACCTGAAATGACTAACGAATGGAAGACTTTGACTACCCAGCCATGCAATAGTCTCATTCCGTGCCTTATGGCAACTTGATGATTCTATTGCGCTCATCTTCTGGCACCACCCAGGGAAGGCTTGGTCCTGTACCCAATGCTTAACTTATCTCCATTCCACTCAGCTACTCGCAATTTCTTGTGATATAGTGGGCAGAATATTATTATATGAGACAATTCAATGCAGACGTCTTTCCAAATTTGGCAGATCGATAGGTATTCGGTGAGTTACCATGATAGTTGCTATTCAACAACTCGACAACGTCCCATCGTCAACGCCTGCTATGAGAATTTTCCATGGCAGACGGCAACGAAATGACGTCATCGAGCTATCGATCAACTACCCTGGTTATCGCCTGGTACCTTATAGCACGATGCTAGGAGGCGATCCGGAAGAATCGATGAGCACCTCTCCCCCTATAAAATATTTCTAGATCCTTACCATACAAAAAGTTACTGTCTTCGGCAAAGTTTTTCAGGAAGTACAGATCTTTTCGTTGGTGGAGTAGTTCAGAAAATTCTCACTACGTGGCGCTAGTATATACATGCAATTTTCGCATATACAATAGCTCGAGATCCAGAGCAGATAGAAGTTACTGTCTTCGGCAAACTTGTTCAGGGTGTCAAGTAGTTTTGGCTGGTGGACAATAGTTAAGAATTTTCTCACTACACGGCGCTAGTATAAACGTGAAATTCTCATATAAAATATCTCGAGATCCTGACCAGATAGAAAGTTACTGTCTTAGGCAAAGCTGTTCAGGAGATCATAGCTTTTTTGATGATTAAAAAGCCTTGACATCCTGAACAACTATGCCGAAGACAGTACCTTTCTATCTGGTTGGGAACTTGAGATATTTTATATGAGAATTTCACATGTATACTAGCGTCGTGTAGTGAGAAAATTCTGAACTATTGAGCACCAAGTAATAGGCTTTGATCTCCTGAAAAACTTTGTGAAAGACAGTAACTTTTTATCTGGTCAGGATCTCGAGATATATCACATGCGAGAATTTCACATGTATACTAGCGCTACGTAGTGAGAAAATTCTGAACTACTGTCCGCCAGCGACAAGGCTATGATCTCCTGAACAGTTTTGTCAGAGACAGTCACTTTCTATCTTGTCAAAATCTTGATATATTCCATGTTGTAATCAATTAAGTCAAATCCCACGTAGTATGGCCACAGTTTACGCGGTTTCCATTTACATTTTCCCTATTATCCGCATTTTTTTAGGTGTTTACTGTAATCAAAGTTTAGCTTGTTTAGATCAAAACAAGTTTTTTGATGAATACTCGTTGGATTCAGATCGATTGGTAACTCAGCAACAAAATGGCAATGGAAAACTCATGTGTGTTGTACAAAGTACAACAACGCGAGTAACGGAGGGTTAAAGAGATTTTTAGCCTTAGGCTAGTTCATCTCTAACCTTTAAGGAGCGCCCATAGTTTACAATGACTATGTTTCGGTTGGAGGCGAACCAGCCCCAGGCTGAAAGCCTCCCTAATAAAGATAAATTAATTAATTAATTAAGTTTCGGTCTTTGGAGTTGGCCTTCTTCAAGGTAAAGTTGTACCACAGACAAACAGACATATCACATTGATTATTTCTCACTGCAAAACATCGTCGCTAGAACAGTATCGCCATCTGTTGAGTACACAGTGATGGGCCGTACGTTCAACAGATGGCGGTAGTGTGTAAACGTCAAACGCAAGGGAATTGACTATGTGCGCCACAGGTGGTGGTACTACCAACCAGTGTTCGGAAAAACTCAATAACTCAATACTCATGCATGACTTTTGCCTTGCAAAATTCAACGTCGCAAAAATCACCGATGAGTTTTCAGCTTAAAAAATTCATTTATTTTTATTTTGGCGTTATTTATTGTTATTTCTATTGATTGTACATCAAGAGTTGGAAAATTAACAAAACATGCATAACCAATGGTATCAATTGACGTTTGAGTGGTTTTTATGAGCTTAAAGTTGGAATGATTTTTCGACGTTGTGAGTGTGAATGCGTGAATATGCATGAGAATCTCAAGCGTGAATTTTGTTTGCCACATTCGCACGCGAGTTTATTCTCGCAAGGACACTCAATGAACGAGATTTGAGAATGATCTTTCGAACACTGCTACCAACTAAGAAATATTCAAATTGTCCGATAAATCGATGATCAACTTGCTAGTGTTATGTCTGTGGTTGTACCGTCTTTGGTTCAGTACAAAATGCTTGCGATATGAAACTAAAAAATAGCCCTTATGAAGATCCCTAGATCAAAACGTTGGCGATAATAAAACCACAGACAAACAGACACAACTCTTGCATTTAACAATCAATTTAAATGCTTGTTAGTTGGTAGTACCACCGCCTGTGGCGTGAATCATCTGTTGAGCGTAGTGAACAGTGTGTTTTAGTGACGATGTTTTACAGTGAAAAGTACACAATGCGAAATGTCTGATTGTCTGTGATTAAAATGTAATCAACCCCTTTTCTTGAGACGAAACAACCTTACTAACTCACCAAGATCTTTAAACTTCCCCGAAAGCCTAGACTTTTCAGAAGTGTACGGAGCTTCTTTGAAGTTGTTTGAACTGCCCTAAAGATCTCTGAACTTCATTAAACTTTTCTACACTTTCCTGAACTTCTCAGAACTTCTTAAAAGGTCCCTGAATTTTCCTAAAGTTAACTGATCTGAAGGAACATCAAATTTGATCTACCATGTTAGTTCCCGTTATTTCCGTGAAGTTTACGAAATTTCCTTGAAGCTCATGGAGCTTCCTTTAAAATCTCTAAACTTTTTTGACCTTCTATGGACGTGCTTGAAGTTTGCGATCTTTTATGAAGTTTCCTAAATGCTCAAGAAGTTCTGAGGAGCTGGACATTTTCCTGAGATTGTTGGAACATTCTGGAAATTCCTGAAATGTTCCATAATTGGGTTCTTTAATTTTGAAAAATATATCGGTTTTTACATATCATCCGAAAGAGCTTCGTTTTCCGAGCACAACGATATTTTTTTCGAACCTACACACTTTCATCTCGATTTTTAAATCAAGATTTTAAGTAAAATAATAACTTCACTGTTTGACACTAAACTAACAAACTGACAGCTCGCTCCCATACAAAGTGACACCGAGGGGCGCTAATAAGGTGATTTTTGCAAATGTAATCGTTCTTATTTAAAATAGTTCCAGTGTACCAAAATTGATGAAATTTTGGGTTTGGGTTCCATTTTCAATACAGATTACGAATATGCATTTACCTCAATACCCTTAAATAACCCAATTCCTCGGAGTTTCTTGATAGTTCCTGCAATTATTTAACGGAACTGTTGTGGAGTTCTTTGATCTTCTTCGAAGCATGCTTGGCATACACAGTTTTGGTCACGGACTGCTCATTTACTAATAACTTTGCACACAGTTGACGAAACATAGGGTAGAGAACTACTTCGGCCTAATCGCCCATTTTGGGCCTATCGAGCAGAAAACTTCAAATAAATCCATGATTTCAGAGTTTACAAGTCAATTATGCGTTTGGTACGATACTTTAGTTAATAAGCTACCGAACGAAGTCAATGAGAACGCGTCATATGAACGTTTGCACCCATAACTCCCAAAAACAAAAAAAGCGCTCCGACCGAATCAATTTTTATCTTTATCCGATAGGCCGAAGTGAATTCATTGTCGTTCCAATAGCGTTAGGCCGAGTTTAGAATCCATAGGCCGAGTTTGGCGTCAAGAAGCAGTGTTAGACTTTTGACAATATGTCAACAATTTGTTTCTCTATATCAAATCTTACGGTACGTACGGAAAGGTAAATAAATTTGGAAGCCATCAGTAATAATAACATTCCGTTTGGTGCTAAACTGCGCTAGAAGAAAGACTAAATGCGGGTTGTGCTTAATAGGCTGGAAATTGGGTAGTTAACCCTAGTTATTTTTGAAGCATTCGATATAATAGAGTTAAAGCTTGTTATAGATACGTAAAAAAAAGTAGATTTTAATTCTAGTTATATACTATATTGGTTATTGCGTTGTAAAAATGCCGTTAGAGATGTTCGCTGCACATATCGGACTTATAGTGTTAAAATTCATTGGTGTTGATTCAAATGTTAAGATTTACCTACTCTTTGCATGTCTATAGTAAACTATGATCCTAATCTATCAATTACTTTAAAGAAACACAAATTTCAACAACTGAGTGAAAAGTTATTAACAAATGAGCAGTTGCTGTGTACAACTGTGCATGCCAAGCATGCGTCGAAGTACTCTTAGGAACCCTGAAAAATAAACTGAGTGAAACTGCATATACATCCCTAAATTTCTTTAAAGTTCTTTGGACTTGCACTTGATTTGGTTGCTATTTGAGATCATACGATCAAAAATACAGGCGAAAAAAAATCGCGTAAAAACAGAATAGAGCTTATTTCATTTAGGTGATCACCGCTGTAGGCTGTACAAGATTACACCTTCTACCATCCTAGAGCATTGAGTCTTAACATTCACTTTCCTTCCCCCCCAACAGATCAAATGCCCACGGTCATCAGTGGTCTAGGCGAGCTTCGCGTCCTGAAAACAACCCAATCGGCATTCGTCAACTTTGTCAACGACGAGTACCGTTCCCTGCCGGATCAGCACGATCGCATCTTCAGCACCGTGATCCGCTCGTCGTGGCAGTACTCGACCGTAGCCGGTGTGGATTTCGATTTCTGCTGGAACAAGGTGAAACAATGCATCCTAAATACGTTCGCCGGCGAGACGGAGAAGGGCATCTTTTCGCCGAGTGTTCAGAATACGCTCTATCTGGCGGAGAAGTTGGCGCTGGAAAGCATTCCGGAGATCTCGTCCATCGATATGACCATGCCCAACAAGCACTACTTCAACTTTGACTTTAGCAAGTTTCCCAAGCTGATGGAGGGGCAGGAACTGAAGGAGGAGACCGTCTACTTGCCGGTCGATAAACCTGCCGGTATCATCTATGCGCAATTGGACCGCAAGTCGGTGACAAAGAGTAAGCTGTAGGGAGAGACTTAGGGTAGTTAAGCAAATGAAAGAATTTAATAATTCTCGAATTTATAATGTATTAAAGTTTATTTACTAGTATCAATAAATAACTTGTCAAAACTGGTGCAGTCTAAATGGTCACGATCAACAATAGAAAATGAACTACCGACTTGTTTCTCTCTAAGTACCCTTCCACTCTAAGATGGGGTTAGGGTGCCTATTTTTCAAAATCTATTGATAACATATCCTAAGAGATACAATATTTGGGCGTAATTGCTTTTGTAAAAAAAAAACACGTCAATCGCCGATTTTTACCGAATAAAGACTCAAACTCAAAAGCTACCAACACAAACAGGTAGATGAATGATTTTTCTATAATATGTTATAGTTTGTTCGCGAGATGGAGCTGTTATTCACGATAAATTTACGATTAACATATCTGTCTAAACCAAAAGCAATAACGCCCAAATATTGAATCACTATGGATATGATGTCTTGTGTGGAAAATGATCATTAGAACAGATAAGGACTAATTAAGCATCCATAAATTTGCTACTTTCGTTAATGGTGGCTCAAGGAGTTTAGTTTCAACTCCACTTTCCATTCCGCTCTATTCGAACTTTTTCCATAGGGTAAAGTAGCCAAGCGGTGAGAAGCATCTGTAAACGAAATTTATACCGCATTTTTTTACGACTTTGGAGGATGCCATCGTAATCAAACAACATTATCGGGTAGGAGAGAAAAGAGCGTTAGACATTTTGTGATCCCGTTCTATTGTTGATCTAAACTCGGAAAAAAATCCGTTCCCGAAAACGGGAACGGACCGTGAACTAAAAATCACGGCCAGCTATCCAGAACAAAATTGTCTCAAATATACACCGTGAACTATGGTTCGCGGCTGTGGTTCACGAATATGGGAACTCTTTTTTTCCCGTGAAGTACTGGTACTTCTCAAAGCAAAATCGTGCCGAATTAAGTCCTAAGTAACATTGACAGATCCTCTTCGTAGATTCTCTCTTTGCATTCTCACGGCCACGTTAAGACAACCCCAGCTATTTTACGCACACAGATCGATGAAAGAAGCTATAACCAACAATCAATACGAAACTAACGATTTTAAATTGGCTCACCACTTTAGTAGCCTATTGGTCCCAAGCAAACGATTAACGTAGCCTATTCTAGTTGAAATTATATTACTACACTATGTTTGTTTTGATTCGCTATGAAAGTTTGACAGATAACATCAGGGGTGTGTGGATTCATGCAGAACATGCAGGGGTGAGTGAAATAGCTTGGGACTGCTTGGGACCGTTGTTCTGGTACTGAGTGAGCCAAACATAATAATGATTTTCTTCGGGACCCAGCGGTCTTAGAGTTACCTCTATGCTATAACATAGCTTCTAATACGACAAACACGACAAGAAACGGTTCTGCACCCAAGTTATTATTGAAAGAGAAAGTCGATGAAGAAAATAGATCAATATTACTTAGGACCTAATGCATTCTTCAGCTTGAAATGTTGTCGTTGGAAATGACTAATGCTATCGAATTAATTCTTTATGTTACAGCTTGAATACTGTTAACATGTCTGTGAATGTGCGGGTTTTTCCAAGCGGTAATCAACTCTGCACAATGTGCCGAAACACATCGTGGCACACTGATCGGCACTTCATGGCACACGATGACAAGCATGACACAAAATATAATTTAAAATTGCTTCACTGTTTTGTCTTGACATTTTGCCAATCGTTGCTAAGGTTTACTTCTTTGTTCACTTCAAAATAAGGGGGAAAGGGGATTTTTTTTTTGTCAGTGCCATTTTCCAGCGAAATTGTTCCCAATAATTGACGAGACTCTCTTCGCCCTTATGCTTTCTTGAAGATGAACCTGTCCATAGTTTCAGGGAAGTCCACGAATTGGTCAAAGTCACCGAGCCCCGAAAAATAAGCCAGAATACCTATTAACTCGATGGCCATAGGATCTGGACCGAGAGTCAATTGTATGGGTAAGGAGAATAGAGCTAATAAACTATAGAGGAAGAATAGCACTGCCGTCATTGTCGAAACATCTTTTCCTTACATTGAACACAACTTTCAAAGCGAGAAAAAACTATGCAGTTCGACAGTTCTGTACCCGGTATTATTCAACATCGGAACAAAGGGAACATCAGCGCTATTCTTCCTCTATAGTACATTAGCTCTATTGTAAGGAGCATTGCAGCGCTAATGTACGGTGTCAACAACAGCCCGGTGCCGAACGATCCTACCATTCTTCAGATGTATCTGCAATCGCAGCTGTTTCTCCCGCAGAACCGCTCGGTACGATTGATGGTTCACTAATCAGTCAGCCGTACAGCTCATTCTATGAACTGGACTCGGATTCGATTGAATGTGGAGGCTGGTGGAGTCATTGGATCCCGTATTACCAACAATCAATACGAAACTAACGATTTAAAATTGCCTCACTACTTGACTAGCCTATTTGTCCCAAGCAAATCGATTACGTACCCCATTCTAGTCAAAATTCTAGTACTACACTATGTTTGTTCTGATTCTCTATGAAAGTTTGACAGATAAAATGAGGGATTAGTGGATTTTCCTAGGTTTCGAGGGGTGAATCGATTAGCTTGGGACCGAAGATAGTACCAGAGCTGAGCCAAAAGTTGAGCTCGTTTCTTCGGGACCTTCTGGTCTTAGACTTACCTTTATGGTATTACCAGTTTGCAGTCTCTCTACGCTTTTTCGAAACTGTTCGTATCACCGAGGGTAATAGCAATATTAAGGGGAAGCTCACCGGCCCAAAAATAAAAAAAATATTTTCGGTACGTTTTTATTTTTCTAAAAATATTGGGAAAAATTATCAAAAATCCAAGAAAATCAATTTCTTCCTTAGATTTTTGTCAAAAATTACATGCAAAAAAAATTTTCTATCCCATCATGAAAAAAAATTGGACTCTCAGAAAAACCGAAAAGTTGATGTTTTGTGGTTTTTTGAGTCCAACTTTATGCCATAATGACTTATAAAACATGTTTTTGCACGTGAATTTTCTTTAAAAAATTAGAAAAAATGTGATTTTTTTAGATTTTTGATACTTTTTTTTCAATATTTTTAGAAAAATCAAAACGTAATTATTTTTTTTCGAAGCGGTGAACTTCCCCTTAAGGAAGATGCTGCTAACAGAATTGTGAAGGTAACCACACCGGAGGTCGGAGCCAATCTGAATCGTGTATTATTGAACGCATTCGGAACCGGCAGCAATTTCAGGGAGATTAATATGCGATTCCGGCATGACCATGAATAAACAAATATGAAGGAACAACAAGCAGATCAAGAAGGAGGTAGTCATCAAACGACTGCAACCAGTATCGAGATCCTGGACCGACATTTGGATAATAATTATTCCATGGAAGATGTGGATAAACGGTTTAAGTGCTCGATTAAAAGATAGAATATGAGAATAATGAGAAAGAAGAAGACCAGTACGAGATAATTTGTTACCGTAAATGACCAGTGGTCTCCTGGGTCGCCTGTTTATTTATTAGGATTTTTAAAGGTTCTAAACCATGGACGAAGTAGTTTGACCCCCCCATAAAAAAGGAAGGCCACTTAGACAGATTTAGTACATAATCACAACTGCTGACACTGGGAAGCTACTGCAGGTCTATTGTTGCTATGACTACCACCGGTGGGCATTTTAGCTCCTGATATGATGATAATGTAGACCAGATGCATCTTCCACTTGCCGATTGAAGACTTGGTTTCGGCAAACGTCTGCCATGGTGACGCACGGTACAGAGCTGTCTTCTATGATGATGATGATTCTCCTGTATGGACAGCTTTTGCTATCAGTGACCCTTCTCCTTCTCGTGGAGGGGCTAAACGTCGAGTGTCACTTCCTTGAAGCGGATGACCGCTAACAAGCTGGATCTTAGGATTAAGTTTCACGACTTTTTTCCGTCCTTGACTTGAAAATGTAAACCCACAGTATTGGTTGGCAGGGTTGCAAACTCATGGGTTACTGAGATTGATACCTTGACTGCTACACTTTGGCACGTTTGGAACGTTTGGCACAACGCTTGACCTAGCTTTCGGCGCAGATTGGGATGTGCAGAGTTGAACACCCCTGGGGTTTTTCATTTTTGTTGCAAACATTTTTCACGATGCAGACATTTACCAGACATATACAGATACTTGAAAGTAATAGAACAGACAAACCGACATAACCATAGAGGTAACTCTAAGACCACTGGGTCCCGAAGAAAATCATTATTATTTTTGGCTCACTCAGTACCAGAACAACGGTCCCAAGCAGTCCCAAGCTATTTCACTCACCCCTGCATGTTCTGCATGAATCCACACACCCCTGATGTTATCTGTCAAACTTTCATAGCGAATCAAAACAAACATAGTGTAGTAATAGAATTTCAACTAGAATAGGGTACGTTAATCGTTTACTTGGGACCAATAGGCTACTAAAGTGGTGAGCCAATTTAAAATCGTTAGTTTCGTATTGATTGTTGACATAACTCTCATAATATCATTCTTCGCATATTAGGTTTTAGTTGGGAATGTACTCGTATTTGCCATGGTGGCACTACTGAAGCGTTAAGCAAGGCACCTCATTTTTAATTTATCAGTGATGCCAGTTCTTTTTCAGATCAATTTAGTAGTTCAGGGTAGAATTTGAGAACAAATAATTTTGATGAGTGTAATATTATATCCACTATTACCAGTACATCATCATGAATAACATTGATTAATGCATATTATATTTGTTTACTGCGCACACTTAAAAGTGCTTAGTGGTTGTAGAAAAAGTACTCATTAGTAGTTGTAGAAAAAGTACTCAACAATTTCCTGAAAAAAATACTGAAATTATGTGAATATCTGGTACGGATCCGTATTTCTGCAAAATACAATCAATAAGATAGATCTACGGAAAATTTCGTAGAACTGACATCACTTACTTGCATCTGTTTTGTTTTTATTTAACACAGCTGACGTGTTGACAGAACAATGGAAAAGCAACTAGTGAAAAACAAAATGCATTAACGAGGGATGCTCCGGTTGCAAATCAATGCTTGGGAATGGCCATGATAGAGGTTGCTATTGTGCATGCAAAATAAGCTTGACGATATTTTTTGAACAATTTTTTTTCTAAGAGTTATGTCTGTTTGTCTGTGGTCATAGTGTGACTAAATCACTTGAACTTTTTTTTTTTTAAATATGGATGAAGTATATATCCAATTTGCTTTTGATTCAGTTCCAACCTGGATCGGGTATCAATATTGGGATTGTTTTTGTAACCTGGCTTGGGTTGAAGTTCGCACTGACAATAAGCTCGGGTTGGCAAGGGTTGGAACAGGTTCCACCCTGGATAATAAACAAATTCGCTAATAGTTTCATTGGTTTCACCATCAGATTTTGCATATGTGCTCAGCTCCAATTCATGCGCTCCTTTACACTCGGTATCCATAGATTTAAAATGTATCGATAACATGCTGAACAATGATTGCCAATTTTCCGCTACACATTTTACCGGAGGCATCGTTTTCGGAGTGTTAAAAAGCGTCCATCATCGTGATTAACGGAAGTACACATGAAACTATAGTAAGGATGCAATTTGTCTGTAACCAGTGATATCAGTTAAACTAAAAAAACAACAATTTTTTGTGAATTTTATTTTCAGTGTAACGGAGGATCCAAACGAAATGACGTTTTATGTTTGATGTTTCAGTCTTTGGACTTGAGCGTGGGGGGCGGCACATCTAAATCTCATGTTTAGATGCTCAAAAAATCTCACACTAGCGAATCAATCTTCGAAAAATCTTCTTTCATTTGTCGTATCTACTTGCATCACTCATCATCTTTTTGCAGGAAATCTTCAGAATCATCATCAATCTTCTTTCAATCTACTCAGCGTGCGCGCAGCTAGCCACAGCAAAACACAATCTTTTTTGCATCGTAGATAGAGTCGTCCCCCTCGGACTTGAGCTTCTTCATGGGATATAAAGTATCACCATCAGGGCGAAAAGTTTTTCGATCTACTGAAACTAGTCCTAATCGAAACCCAAACATAATGTTCGATGCATCTCTGAAGTTATTGGTACTGCCCTAAAGATCTCTAAACTCAAAAAAAAAAAAAAAAATCTCAAGATTTCCCTGAATTTCTCAAAACATTTCAAAAGTTCCCGCACCTCTCCTGAAATTCTTTGATATATCCAGATGTTCCTAAATTTTCCTAAAGCTTTCCCGTAAAGCTTATGTACTTCCCTGAACTTCTCTGGACTTGCTTAAGGTGATACTCTAAGGAAGCCTTAGCGTGAAACTTCAAAGGCACAAATATCAGCTTCCACAAAATATACATTTGAAATTGCTACTCTCTGTTTGTAGTAGCACAGCAAACAAGGAGTAGAAATTTCAAATTTGTATGTTTTGTGGAAGCTGATATTTGTGCCTTTAAAGTTTCACGCTAAGGCTTCCTTAGAGTATCACCTTAAGATCCCAGAGTTTATCTGAAGCTTTCAAGAATTAGCTAGTCTGAGGTTCTAGGAATTCTTATAGAATCAAGATCTCTGGAATTCTCTGGAGATTTCTTTACTTCCCAAAAGATCATAGAACTTCTTGAAATATTCTGCAGTTTCCATGAAGCTTGAAGTTCTCAAAGCTTACCAGAAGTACCCAAAATGTTATAGAAGTTCTCAGATTTTACAGCAATCTGTTCATGAAATTTTGTATCATTCCTCGGATCTTCTTTAAAGTTCCTAAAAAATGCGGGTACCACTCTGACGTCCTCTAATCTATCGTGAAAATCTCGTTTTTTTTTTCTGAGTATGTTTATTGAACTGCCCTTAAATTAATGAAACTGTCCAGGAAATCTCTTCACATCCCGACGTTTTTTGTAGTTCCTTGAATTTATTGGAGCTTCCTCGGTGTTTTCTTAAAATCTTATGTGTTTTGATCTTCTTGAAATTTCTCGCATTTTGTTGCAGTTCCCGCAATTTTTTTGGTATTCTTGGTCCTATTTTGAAGTTCTCAGAACAGTTACAACTCAGAAGCTCACGTAACTTCCATAAGCATTTTTAAACTCAATTGAAGACATATAAACTTATGATAAGTTCTTGCAATTTTCCTAGAATTTATGGAACTGCTCTGAAACCATTGGGACCTTACATTAAGGATATAAAGACTTTACCGTGGAAGATGGAAGATTTTGAAGTTCTCAGAGCTATCTTGGAGTTAATTAAAGTTTCTTGAAATTCTCGGAATTGTCATAACATTATAAAAACTATCATAAACGCATTTTTTTCATGTTAAGGACAAGCTAACAACATTGAAAAAAAAAACTTTTTGATATTTCTAAAAATATTGGCAAAAGACATAGACAAACTAAAAAACCAGTTTTTGTTTTATATTCTTTGTAATTTTTTGGAATCTAATCTAGAAAATACAAAAAAAAAACTGGTTTCCATAGATTTCTAAAAAAATAATATGTATTTTTTTATTCTCTCTCTTCATGTAAAAAAAATGGACTTTAAACAAAACTACAAGGTCGATTTATGCCGTTTCTTGAGTGCAACTTTTTGCTATGATAATCTAGAAAAAAAAAATGTTGTACGAGAAAAATTAAAAGAAAATAAAACTGACAATCCCTATTCTAAACGCTTGCCCGTCACTCTACTCCTGTAACTAAAACTAGAAATACTCAGAGGGAGAGATGGGCGGAGGAAACAAAATATAATTTGGCAGCAGGGATTTGTACCTAAATTATCTTGCAACCCTTGCTATAAGCTAGCCTTTCACATGACTTACTTTTGATTCGATATACGTGCAAAATAATAATTGAGTGCATCGCAATAATTTGCACATTTATTGGTGCCATTAATTAAACAACTAAGATCAATTAATCAATAGAGTTGGAATTTTGTTTTTGATTCCAAAAACTAGTTGAATGTGAGAAGCACACGAAACATAAAAGTGATTAAATTTCTGTTCTATTGCACTACTCTCAAATTTAATGTACTAATCTTCTTCTTCTATCCCTTATTTAACGTCGGTCTCTGTTCCGCAATCTAGTGCCAATCACCGATGGACATCGATTGCCATCCATTGACGGCAATCGAATGTGCAGGAAGGCAGCTTCCACACCTGCGTAGGATATCGCACCCATTCAACGCACATGGACCGGGACCAACGGCTTTACTTCCCTTCCGAAGGAAGACGTGGCCAGAGATTTTTATGCCTCAGAAAAATCCCACCGACCTCGGCTGGGATTGAACCCAGACCCATTGGAGTGAGAAAGCAGTCACGCTTACCACTACACCACCGGCGCCGGCTTTAATTTACTAAGAATAAGAAATCCTCTGAAAAATTCTAATGGGAATGTTCGATTGGCTCAGAGTTTGACAGTTCATTTGGCTCAAAACATTCTCTCTGCTCATCTCTCTCTGTCTCTGAGTATTTCTAACTAAAACCAATGTGAATAAAAAGTCATGACTGACCGGGCTCAAATTGCACTATTTACGTATCATGTTCCAAAAATGTTCCAGAACATGTATTTGACACCTGTGCCTGAAAATAGTAAATCTGGAATATGAAGTGCGTTCACTTTTCTCTCTCCTAATCTTATATTTCTCCATAATTAGTTAATTTTAAATGAACTTCTTTCTCTTCCATATATAGTGCAATTCCGTATTTGGCAACTCATGATTTTTGTTTTCTATGCTTTGTAGAAACTTCATTAAACGTGTAATTACATGTGTGATTTTACTCGATCATTCATTAGAAATTAGAGAAGCTTATTATAACATGTTATAGCGCTATCTTGATGGTGGTTTCTGTGTTGCAATTATTTGACAATCGTTATAACATGTTATAACTCTCCAGTCTGGACAGCGTTCAAAGGTGCAGCTATAAAACATGACCGATTTCTTTTGGGAATATAAAAAAAAATGTACAGGCGTAGAAAGCTCTCAATTAACAACTGTGGCAGTGCCAAAGAGAACACTAAGCTGAGAGCCGGCGTAAAGTCTCATTGGGGACGTAAAAATCCTAAAAAGGTATCATGAAACACTGTACTGAGAGTCCTACAGCACCGATTCCTTTCTTCTCACCTCTTATACCGCACATCGCTACAGCACAGCTGATGAAATCGTGTTGCCAGAAACGGGAAGGCACTGTATAAACAAATGACTGATAAGATACGAGAATAGCTCATGTCATCGATCAACAGTAGCGAGATTTGCACACCATTCATTTCAATTGAATCAAGCGCTAACTGTACAATGTCCCCGGTGTCGGACATATTAGTACCCATTGCGCGGCCGGATTGGCCTGCCCTCCGTGTCTTATTCGAAACCAGTGATCTCGAGACCGAAATCCCGTGCAACACCATTCAAAACTACATCGATTGGACCGAGCGCGATCCGAAGATTCGTCACCTGGAGATCCTCAGTCTGAACGACAGCTGGCGCCAAAATGGAACATTTATTGTTCTGGTAAGCATCCACATTTGCTAGAAATTAGAGATGAACTAGCCTAAGGCTAAAAATCTCTTAAATAAAGAATTAAAAAAAAAAAAAAAATTTGCTAGAAACCTTGAAAATATAGCAGGACCATCCATTCCCAGGACCGTCACGAGATGTTTTTCTTCTCGCTGGAACCATCGAACGAATCTCTCGAACGAGCACTGGAACTAATCGATTGGGATTTCCCGTATCGAACCTACGGCATTCTTGATAAGCATCAATTGGTAATGAAACGAGTGCTCCAAAAGCTGAATGTGCCATTCCCCAACGTGTCCGTCGCTTGCAATCTGTATCTGTTACCGAAGGAAGTTGGTCTCGGTTTGGAAGTGCTGCCTCCGCCGGCTGGTTTTCGATTGGCTGAACTGAAAGTTCATCACGCCCAAATCATCAACGCAACCTGGGCATTTCGGAGTGGAGCATCCGAATATGCCATCACGCGCTGCATAGCTTGGAACACCAACGTGGGATTGTTCGACGAGCAGAACGAGTTGGTCGCATGGTGTTTGCTGAACAATTTGGGAATCATTTGTGTGCTGTATACGGTCGAAGCGTACCGGCGGAGGGGATTGGCGGAAGTGGTGCTGAGGGCAATGGTGACGAAATTGGCCAATCAGGGAATGAATTCCGTTGCGAGTGTGTTGCTCTCAAATGCCCCTTCCAGAGCTTTGTTTGAAAAACTGGGCTTCGAGGGGGACGCAACTTTGCATGATACTTGTCATCGGGTTGATCGATTGGTGGAGTGGAACTTTTTCTAGCAGGAGTGGAGTGAGTGGATGCTGGGAGGGACATTTGTCAGCGGGAATGACTCAAGTCCGTAGAATTGTTACTTTTTCAGTGCACAGTTCAAACAAGGACTAGCCTTGATTTGCTTTTGCGTTAAGGCTGAAATAAAGAAAGTATAAATTTTCACAATAATTGTAGACACTTGTTTTCCATTTACGTGATTTATGAACAACACCTTTGATGATGATTGGTGATGATCCATTGGGGTGAGAAAGCAGTCACGCTTACCATTACACCACCGGCGCCGGTTACTATTAAAGGGTGTATTCGATAAAAAAAAAGTCACACACATATTTACTCAGCAAAATTAAACCGACTATCGGATTTTCTTGAATTTTTCAGGGAATGAAAAACTACTAATGAGTTATGATTAACAAAATTTGTTTTATTCATTCGCATCTTCCTTTTCACTACACATATCAAATTTTGTACAACCGATTTTCCCAGTGTTTTTGTTGTTATTACCCAAATTTTCTTCAACTTCAGTTCAAGTTCCGTCTTTATAATTGCCCAGAATTTATCAATTGGGCAAAGTTCTGGTGAATTTAGTGGGTTCATATCTTTTGGCACAAAATTGACTCCGTTGGCTCGGTACCACTCAAACAAGTTTCGAGCGTAGTGGCAGGATGCTAGATCAGGCCAAAACAGAGTTGATCCTTTGTGCTTCCTTATGAATAGCAAGAGACCACTTTTACGACCACTCTCTTCCTTTCTTCGGGCACTCAGACGCTCTCGTGTGATAAGAGCCTTCAATCTGATCACACGAGACACAGTTGTATTTGCAATCCCAAGCTTTTTAGCGATCCATCGGTGGGATGCCTCTGGATTTTGATTGCAAGTGCACAACAATTTTTCACGAACAATTTCTTGTTTCGACAACTATGAAACTTGACAGATCCCAAGTCTCATCATCAATTACAACAGAGACGTTCGCATTTACTTGATTCCGTGAAATTACTTTAAATTTAGTTTTACTTGTATTCAATTTCAACTGCTTATACTTCAACCATCTACTAAGATAACGCAAATCTTCATTCAAGTGTAAAACAGCATCATCTAAATGTTGCAATGAATAACACAGTGTCATCTGCAAACAGACAAATGTCGCAAGATCGTAAAACACGTCGCAAGTCATTCTTCTTTCTTCTTCTTCGCATTTCCATCTTATTGCATATCGCATATTAGCTTATAGCGTGCTCTCAACTTAGTGTTCTAGATGCACTTTCACAGTTATTAATTGAGAGCTTTCGATGCCTGTACCATTTTTGCATTGATATGATTGTGTGGCAAGTCCAATCATACTTCTATGCCCAGGGAAGTCGAGAAATTTTCCAACCCGATTAATTCCTAAACCGGACCGGAAATTGAAACCAGCCACCTCCAGCCTGGTCTTGCTTTGTAGCTGCGCCTTTACCGACTGAGCTAAGGGAGGCCTCGTCTCAAGTCATTCATATAGATAATAAATAACAGGGGCCCTAATACACTTGCATATAGGTATTATTAAGTTGGAGAATGGTATATTAATTTGCCTCTAAATTTTTTCAGCATAAGAATTCCGTAAAATTATTGTGTGAAGCTTTTATAGGTCTTGATATTATTGTTTTACTGAGAATGTAACAATGGATAACAAACCGTCAGTTATTTAAATAACTAAATTATTTATTAGTTCGTTATTTGAAGAACATTTTTAGGGTAATATTTTTGGTATTTTACTCTTATGTCAGGCTAATCAATACCATTTTTTCAGTTTAAGGTTTCCAGTTATACTGTTAGCATACCTGAATAGGGTATTCATAAGTTTTTTTCTCTCCTGCTTGTATACAGACTAATATATGAGCTTGAAAGTATGCGTAGGTGTACTAGGCCTAAAGTAACACAATAATGAGTTTATGTACTGAAGATGAATCGATTTGCAGTCTACGGCAAAGTTGTTCTGCATTGTTTTCTCAATCAAAGTCGCAAGTGTGGTAAAAATTGATCAATTTTTAAATTTTTGCATGCTAATGACCTAAGACCCGAATAAAAATTTAAAGGGTCTATAATAAACAAAAAAGTAACCTATTTCGTTTAAAATTGGCATAGTTATTGGTGACCTTAATTCACATCAAATAAACAGTGGGATCACGGGGTTCAGATCCACCTAACAAACTTGGCCCACCTTAATATTCATGTGGTGGATTACGAATTGGTCTGTCTCGAGATAGTATGGCTAAAAATCTCCAAAATTTTTTTTTAAAAAACTCGATATGCAACGACTAAGTCACCTCCTTTAAAACTTGGAGATCATGGGTCTCATTGGATCACACATATGCAAATACACCCGGCTAACAGCAGACCATGTCATAAGAGAATGCAAAGCGTATGATGCTGAAAGAGAAAAACACCAAACCTCAGATATATCAATATACAATAACTCACATGAGAACGAGAACAACCTAATAAACTTCCTAAGAGAAACAGCAACCTTCCACAGAATGTAAATCACAAATAACAACAACATATGCAACAAAAGCGGTAGCAAATCAAAACACATACAGGGACACAATAAAACAATATCTCTTGGGCCTTACTTATACCACAAACACTCACGCGCACCAAACAGAAACATAAACTGAAACCACAAAGACAGGGACGTGGTCATCAAACTGACTAACTAGGCCACGACCAGCAGGACCTTCCATGGCCATCCTGTGTGTGCCTTTCCAGCTCTACCAGCTGCCGTTACAATTACCAATTACCAGGGCCCTCACGGAGACAACCTTGACGAAATAACTCTAGGAGTTAAAAGTCAAGTAAATGTTAATGCCTAGCCTGGGTCTCATTGGAGAAGTCGAAAAGAAGCATTTTTCGGATGAACGCATATATGAAAACAGTCGTTTCGACTTTGTTCCATAATGTGGCCCAGATAAGGCTGTGTGTATTCAACGAAAATGTAGGCCTCTCGGTTAAGAAAAAGGTTATTGACTTATGAAACGGATGTTATCCGAGTATTTAAAAAAAAGTTTTCTACTCTCACTTAGCACTATTTGTTTTTCACAACTTTCACTTAAATTTGCTTTTACTACATTACGCTTCGAGACTCACTAGCTAACTGACTGAAGCTCCTATCCAGGTAAAAATTTGATGCTTAACAAGTGCTGTTAAATCAATTTTAATTCAGCCTTAGATTGAATAATTGCTGTACATAGACCACGTTAACCTTTGTTAGACTTTTAAACATTTAAATCTGGTGATTTTAATCAGCCAAAAGCTTAACAGTAATATACATTATAAGCTTTTTTAGGCATAAAATAACAGTTTTTTCCAGCCCTTGTTCTGTAACATTAGAGCATGTCCCATCAAATTAAAATATACTTGTTATTGTAATTTTTTGTAAGATAGGAGCTAGATCTAGAAATTGTTAGAATATTTAAAATAAACTCGCCTATTTGAGCGCCGTCCGCTACCAAAACTGCTCGAGTAAACGACTATCACCCCTTCTCAACGGTTGGCAAACGTGTGTGGAAGGAAGTTCAGTCCTCCCATTGCGAGCGAGGGAGGAGATAAATAGGCTCTCGACCGCTTGATGAGGCTCTGTTGTGGAAAACCTTGTGACCGTACGGACGCGCAAAATTATTCAGTCGAGTGTTAGAAAGTATAATACGGATTTTTGCCTTTCGCGTGTGTGACGCCGAGTGTGGCGAGTGAAACGGGCTGTAACCTGGCCAGAAGATCCAAAAACCAGTCTCGGTAGTGCATAACTCTGGTGTTCGGACGAAGTGTGCCGAAACCTACACGTGGCGTGCGTATTATTTGCCACCGAGCTGGTGCACAGTCCTAAGTTCGCGAGTGTCCGTCGGTTGTGTGGTAGCCGAAGGAGTGAATAATTGCCTCCTTCGAGCTCCTAGTGTTGGTCCGAGAAGCCGGAAAAGAACAGGCCGTTAGAACGGTCCACATTAGTGCGCGAGTGGTGAAATCAAATTTCGTACCTCTGTCCGAAAAGTGCGCCGCAACCAAAAGAAATACGCCTAACCACGTGTGCTCGCAGGATTCCTAGGAGAATCCCTGCCGCAATTACCCCGACGCCTGCGACGACGCAGAGAGCAGCGAGCGACGGCGCGGGCCCAACGTAACCTCCCGATCGACAGAGTAGGCAGCCCCTGAGGGAAAAAGGTAAGTTGCATGCTACCTTCATAATGTTATAGTTCAGCATTCCAGTTTTATTTCAAAAATAATAATGGAGGCCGTATCTTATCCTATGCATTTATGGAACTGCTAGAACTTGTTGCTGACTAATTGGATTTACATATTTATATTGTTAATATAAGTCTAAAAATTATCTTTGCATTTCGGGATTCGAGCCGGTAGTCGCTGATTCACAGGCGTCAACCAAATCTACTGGACCATTTAAGCATATGTGTGGTAAAAGATTTGATCATTATCTAGAAGCACGTCAAATTTAAGTTGAATAACAGAAACCGAAAGAGTATTATACAGCTATGCAGAATTGTAAACAACAACTGGTGACAGGAAAACATTCCTCTCATTTTCAAGTGCAGTGCGGTCTGAAACTTCAGTGCAATATTTTATTTTATTTTATTTTATATATCACCGTCTTCGACTAGTCGTACAGACTGAACTATTTTCTTATAAACTAAAGATTGCTTCTAATCCTATTTCTAAAAACATTTTTGGTCAAATTAAAATCAAATTCGTCACAAACAACATTTAACGAGCGAAGGCACGAATCGAACGGGTTGTTGTATCCGTAGTTTGTTCTGTGGTATGGAACTGCTAATAAAGGTGAGTTCCGAAACCGTCGGGGAGGAATGTTTAGTGGGATCTGTGCGAGAAGTTCAGGACAATCAATAAATCCTCCGATGACATCAAAAATAAATAATCGCTGCATCGTAACTCGTCTGGTAGATAGTGGCTCCAATCCTATGAGCTTACATCGGTCAGAATAGGGAGGAAGATTAGACGGATCGTTCCAGGGAAGCTGTCTCAATGCAAAACGTACGAACCTTTTCTGTACCCGTTCAATGGTAAGAACATGAACTACATAGTAAGGGGCCCAAACTGGAGCAGCGTACTCCAGAATGCTACGAACCAACGAACAGTAGAGAGTTTTTAACGCGTAAATG